AAACAAACTCATGTGCTAAATTGAAGTAAATCTTGTAATGTAAACAATAAACTAAAATTTTAGTGAGATTACATCACTTGTGAATTTTGGAAGTCGTGTGAATTCTGAAATACACTCCATGGCATATATGCATGTATATATACATCAGTGACTAATTATTGTAATTTTGATAAAAGCCTACTATAATAGTTAATCAAGTCGTAAAAAAATAATAATATAATAAAATAAATAAATAAACAGGGATATATTATTTGCAAAATCTTGTGGTAAAAAAGTCTAATGTAATGGCATCGTTTGATTGTTTGCAGATAGACGCAAAATTAGCAGAGCATAAAAAGCTCAATATGAGATAACTTTAAGTAGAGAAAATTCGAAAATAACACGATATATATAGAACATTTTCAAAATAATTATATGGACTGTTATCTACAAAAATCTAGTTAAATTAATTATTACAGTATGATGTAAGTTATCCGCTATCAATTAGTAATTAAATAGGGCCAATATATCTTATTTGGCATATTATTTCTTTAGTCTAGCTTTAAATTATTTGTTTATGAGAATGATGAGAACAGGGTTTGAATTTACTTTTATTATTATTATTATTATTATGATTTGATTAAAATTACTGTAATCAATTATGTAGTATAATTTAGCTTTTGGCACTTTCATGTATTAAATATTCGTAGAAAAATAACTAAAGCAAGAAAAATGAGGAATGCCATAAAAGAATCAAATATAGAAATATTTTTTTAGAAATTAAGAGCAAAAATAAAAGGAAAAGAAATACTTTTTTTGGTGGAAATTAAGAGCAAAATTAAAAGGAATGAAATAGAGAAATACTCTTAATCTTCTATGGGATCTTTAAAGTTTGAAAAATAATTTTAGCTAAAATAAAAGTGTATTTAATTAGTATTAATTAAAAACATTAGAGATATTGGAATTGTGAATGAAATAGATTGACTATCTTTAAAGTTAAAAAATAATTTTAGCTAAAAAAAGTGTATTTAATTAGTATTAATTAAAAACATTAGAGAATATTGGAATTGGAAATGATTGAATCCATTCTCATATATACATATATTTCAATATGTCATCCTATTCAAATTCAAAATATATACATATATTACAATGTATTCAAATTCAAAAATCATATATATACATATATATATATATATATATGTATGTATATATATGATATATGTATATTGTATGAGAAGCATGGATTAACTATTTTATATATCGTAATAAGTATATTTGTTGGAATTTCCGTTGAAATTATTCCAGCGGAAATAATAACATTAAAATATCCATTGGAATTGCCGTTGGAATTCTATTGGAATATATTTCCATTGGAATTTCATTCTTGTAGTGTTTAAGTATTTAGAGATATTTAAGTTAAAATCGTAGCTATTTTTTTCGTTACTTCAATAGCATAGTTTTGCTAGCATTTGTCCTTGTTTTTAGATTATATTAATCTTCAAGTTATAACATTTATCTCGAGCATTGTGTTTGTGTTTTTTTTTTCGTGTATAAAATAACCTGAGATTTTATTTGTTTGTTTAAATCTCAAATCTTGATAATTCTACAATATCTAGGAAGAGGTGTACGCAAAGCACTACGGTAATAAATATTTTCACGAGTGATTTTGCTGACAGTTAATTAATTTAAATAATTATTTTAATCGTGCATTATTGGAATTAATCTGCTTAAGCTTCACAAGTATATATGTTAAGCATTTTCTTATTGCATTGTCATTGGATTTTTGCTTCTTGTTCTCTTACAACGGGATTAACTTCCTATTTATATAGATAGGAATTAGGAATATATCTAAATTCCCACCGATCACTTTACACGTGTCAGTCGACTATTGAGTCGTAACTTTTAATTGGACCATATTTAAAGGCAAAATTCTTAAATCGCGCTATCTTTATTAGTGATTTTAAGGCATCATGTTTGTTTATAAAAATTTTTTGGTTTTGTTTGAATTTTTTGATTTGGTTTGGTTAATTTTAAAAAAGGTGATATGGTTAGTTGTTGTTGGGTATATTAAAATAATATTTAAAATAAATAATATAAATTGATTTGATGTAAAAGTAGGAGAGAGAGATTTGAAATGATGGTTAGTTAAAATAATGTGAGTGGGTGAATAGTGAATTAAGGTTGATGTAGTGTGTAGGAATGATTGATTGATATTATTTAATTATATTGATAATTTTGATGATAGTGAGGTTGAGTTAAAGTTGAATTAAAATGTTGAATTTTTTTTAAAAAATTCCATAAACAAACATCTCCTTATTTTAGTTCGAAATCTACCTACTTTAATTACCTTATTTGATCTAGCGATTCTATAAGGATTGTTCGAGTCAATTTCTCTGAGTTGACTCAGTCGACTCCACTAAGTAAGGATCGTCATATCTCATCATTCGGCGGGTTTACTCTATTAATGAATTAAACTCTTCCATCATTTCAAATTCAGAATTTAACAAAATTGGACAATCAACTAGGTTTTGCCCTGTTGGGGTTTGTGTGTTGTCTGTGTTTTTAGTTTATTACCCTGTTGGGGTCGGCTCTAGGCGGTCTTTGGACATGTCTTCTCTTTTTTCAGTCGTTGGTTGTTTCTATTCAGCTGTTAGTTGTTTTGTATTCAGCCGTTGGCTTTTGCACATTTGTGCTAGTTATATAACAGTTCTATCGTTTCG